CGGGAGAGGCTCCTCCAGTCCCTGTCCCCACCGCTCCCGCTCCCTCACGCGGGGCTCTGTCGCAGGCTGGTGTCCCTGCACGACAGCGGCTGGAAGGCCTTCGACGTGACTGAGGCCGTGAACTTCTGGCAGCAGCTGAGCCGGCCCCGACAGCCGCTGCTGCTGCAAGTGTCGGTGCAGCGGGAGCAGCTGGGCCCGCGGGCCTCGGGCGCCCACAGGCTGGTCCGCTTCGCCGCGCAGGGGGCACCGGGAGCCGGGCACGGGGAGCCGCAGCTGGAGCTGCACACCCTGGACCTCACCCGCTACGGGTAGGCGCCAGGCTGGTTAGGCCAGGACTCGAGTAGATTGGATGGTCCGGTCCCACGCCCTTGGGACCTGCCTGGGGGGATGGGCGGGTGCAGATTGCCCCAGGATGCTATGGTTCCCCACTACGTTTGATTCCCCATTTCTAATGGCAGAGATTTTATTATTCAAACATTTTACTGAAAAATATCTTCTGATTTTATGTTGTTATTGAATCATACACATTATTGTCATCACCTATTTTCACTTTATCCATCTCCATGATTAAGTCTTTGGAAAATACCAGCTTCAGCCATCACTGTGGCTGAACAGCTTTCCTCCTGCTTTGGCCAGTTACCTTTTCACAGGACAAATTAACTATTTGGAGCAGACAGTGGTTATGCACAGGCCTTTGGAATCAGACAGTCTGGTTCCATCTAGCTCTGCCTTCTACTGGCTGCAAGTCCTCTGGCCTGTCACTGAACACCTTCATGTCTTTGTGTCCTCAAGTGTAGTAGGAATGATGTTGGAACCTCCCTCTAGGTTCATCTGAGGATGAAATGCAGATGTCACCTGAGATAATATAAAGTACCTAGTTCAGTGTCTGGTATATTAGGAGATCATAAATAAACAGTAGCTGATTTGTTATTTACGTTTTGGGTATGTTTGTTCATTCATCCTCTAACACAACTATCCAGCTCTTGGAACATAATGACAGATGGATCATAAATCTCCCTCCCAGATGCTCCTGACCTTCCCCTCCCAGCTGACCTCTGACCTTGCCTGTCCTTGCCTCCACAGAGCTCAGGGCAATTGTGACCCTGAGGCACCAGTGACCGAGGGCACCCGCTGCTGTCGCCAGGAGACGTACATCGACCTGCAGGGGCTGGAGTGGGCACAGAACTGGGTCCTGGAGCCCCCGGGCTTCCTGGCCTATGAGTGTGTGGGCAGCTGCCTGCAGCCCCCGGAGCCGCTGACCTTCAAGTGGCCGTTTCTGGGGCCACGGCAGTGCATCGCCTCAGAGATGGCCTCGCTGCCCGTGATCGTCAGCGTCAAGGAGGGAGGCAGGACCAGGGCCCGGGTGGTCAGTCTGCCCGACATGAGGGTGCAGAAGTGCAGCTGTGCCTCAGACGGGGCGCTCGTGCCAAGGAGGCTCGAGCCGTAGGCGCCCGGTGTAGCCACCGAGGCCTCTGACCAGACACGTGCATGGAAGGAGGTCTTAAAGTAATTTTTCTTATACTTAGCAAGTTATCCCATCCCAGTTTAGTGCCCCTATATTACCTTTGCCCTGTGTCCTTGTTCATCACCCATCCTAAGCACTTACACAAGTAAATAATGCAGCTCAGGATGCTGAGCTTAGTACAAAATCCTGCTTACTTTTTAGAGACAGAGCTGAGCAATGGACAGATTGTCACCTGGGAGTTTCTGTTCTCTAGCAAATTCTGAACTAAGTATGAATAAGACCCTATGATGAGAACTGGGGAAATAAAACTGATTTACTCTATTACATGGTGAATTAAAACAAAACCAAAACTCCCTGTTGCCCTTAGACAGGGAGTATGTCTGAAAAAGTACCCCCATTCCCCAAAATACTGACCCATTCTGGACTGTTGTAAACATACCTAGGTCCCCGTTCCCCTGACAGGTGCTAGGAGGGCATACGAAGACTTTGAGCTGGGGGCAGCGGACAGAGAATCAGGACACCTGGTTTCTGGGTCTGATAGGGCCACACCTGGGACCTTGAGCAAATGCAGAAGGCTTTGGGTCACTATTTCCTCTTAACAAGGAGGAGTTGGGTTTCAGCTTTAAGGCTTCACTGGCCTAGGGTAAGACAGCCCTAGCCTTGCCCGCTCCTCTGGAGATTAAGCATTGTGTGTGCATATTTAGATTAGTTCCTCCACTGTTTTAGAGAATTTATCACCAGTAAGCACATGTATTTTGCATGCATTTTTAAATTTAGCCAAAACAACTGAATGTAGATAATCTGAAGAAATAAAATAAAAGTGATGTTTCACTCTGTGTCTGTATTTAATTTCCAGCACTCTTTACATAGGAGAGAGAAGAGCAATAATGGAGAATGGGAGCAACGTAATGACCTGAAGAAAGGGCCCCTCACTCCTAGCAAGTACTGAGACTGATAACTAAATTTAATTTAGGCTTTCATTTATGGAATTCACATTTTTCCACACACCTCTCATTCCAAAAATAGTACAAACAGTCATTCATATACGCTCCTCTTTATTTATTTACTTTTTAAAAGATGACCAGTAAGGGGATCTCAACTCTTGGCTTGGTGTTGTCAGCACCACGCTCTCTCAAGTGAGCAACCGGCCATCCCTATATAGGGATCCGAACCTGTAGCCCTGGTGTTATCAGTACCACACTCTCCCGAGTGAGCCACGGGCCGGCCCTATGCTCCTCTTTAGAAAGCACTTTAACTCCTGAAGTTGTGGTTTTGGGGACAGAGGTGACAACGGTGTGGTAAGCAAGCTAGTATTTATTGAGCATTCACTACAAACCAGGGAGCCGGGCTAGGCAATGTCACATGTATAGATCACTCAATTCTTGCCACTATTCCTCGAGGTAGGTATTATGATTCCTATTTTTCAGATGAAGAAACTGAGGCTGAGGAGATGCAAATCTGTTGAATCTCTACCCCATAGGATGGGTTATAAACTCCTTTTCACCCCAGTCCCTTGTAAGCATGCTGATGATGACACAGGCATTGGGTTAAAATGTCATTTGAGGCTGGCTGGTTAGCTCAGTTGGTTAGAGTGCAGCCTTATAACACCAAGGTCATGGGTTCAGATCCCCGAACTGGCCAACTGCCAATAAATAAATAAACAGATAATAAATGTCATTTGAAAATTATCATGTCTGGCAATTCCTATACATTTACTTTTCCCACTCAGCTGAGTTTCTTTGTGCCTCACTATGGAGAAAGTTATATTTCAAGCTCATGGACACTCTGTTTCTTACCCAGAAAGCTAATTAATACCAACTGAATAGTGAAAGAAAAATGAAATTCAAAAATGTCTAAGGACAGCCAGGATTTGAGGATATGGCAAGAATATCGTTGGAGGTACGGAGAGAGGATGTGGCTCTGACTTGCAAACGGCTAGATCACCTCCGTGAGACATCACAATGAAGCCTTCCCACTTGGAGTGTTACAAGCAGCAGGGCATAGGGTTGCTTTGTCTACAAGGATGTTGATAACATCTGAAGAATTCTACCAGCCACTCAGTGACATATCTGTGGCTGTACAAGGTCTGCAGACTCCCAGCCAGACAGCCAGTAACACGCAGTCAGTGGCAAGAATGGTCCTGCTCGGGCCGGCCCGGTGGCGCACTGTAGCAGTGCGCCGCTTGGGAGCGCGGTGGCACTCCCGCAGAGGGTTCAGATCCCACATACAGACCGGTTCCCGCTCACTGGCTGAGCGAGGTGTGGGCGCGACACTGAGGGTTGCAGTCCCGTTGCCAGTCCCGGTTGGGTACGGGCACGACACTGAGGGTTGCGATCCGTTGCCGGACACGAAAAAAAGACAAAAAGGAAAAAAAAAAAAGAATGGTCCTGCTCAAACCATGCTAAGTGCGGGCTAAAAAGTCCAGGAGTTTGGCTTAACTTCAAAATGTAAGGATGTGCTTATCCGCACAGGGAGATGGTGTGGTAGACAGAATGTTCTCCCCAAAGAGATCCATGCCCTAATCCTTGAAACCTGTGGATAAGTTACGTTACACGCAAAAGGGACTTTGCAGATGCATTAAGGTTATGTACCTTAAAATGGGGAGATTATCTTGGATTATCTGGGTGCACCCAATCCAATCACATGAGCTCTTCGAAGCTGAGAACTTTCTCTGGCTGGAGGCAGGACTGATGAGGTAAAAGGCCAAAGAGAACTGAAGCATGAGAAGGATTTGATCTGCCATTGCTGGTTTGAAGATGGAGGGGGCCGTGAGCTAGAGAATGTGAGTGGCTTCTAGAAGGTGGAATCAGCAAGGAAAGGGGACCTAAGTCCTACAGCCACATGGAACTTAATTCTGCCAACACCCCAATGAGCCTAGAGGTGGGTTCTCCCCCAGAGCCTCCAGATAAGAGTCCAGATCAGCTGACACCTTGATTTGGCCTGTGGGACCTGGGACAGAGAAACCAGCTGAGCCTACTCAGACTTCTAACTAAAAATATGAGATAAAGTTTTTTTAATCTTTTTTATTTTTTAAATATTTTTATTTTTTAAAAATATAATTGTTTTGTTTGAAGCTGCTAAATTTGTGGTGGAGTATCATAGCAGCAATAGAAAATTAATATAGACAGTAAGCCAAATCCCATTAGAAGTAGGATGAAATTATAATTTTTTTCACTCTAGATAAAATAACAACATTAAAGATAATTTTTGATGTGTTGGGCTGGCTGGTTAGCTCAGTAATGTCATGGGTTTGGATCCCTGAACTGGCCAGCCACCAAAAACAAATAAATAAAATAAATGATTGAAAACTACCCATAATCCCATCACACTAAAACAAAATTATTTAGGTTTTTGCATATCACCTGTTTACATACAAAATGGCTGTTTACACACAACATGAGTATGTGTTTGTTTTAAAAATCAAGTTTAAGATGTGCCTTACTGCAGAGGAATAATAGTGTAGAAAGTTATACTCCAAAAGGGCCATTTAATTCTAGGTAGTAAACTAAAGGCAATTTTAGTTTTTCTATTTGATCTAATTTCTAATTTTCCTATAAGAAACATGGATTATTTCCGTAATAACAAAAATAAATGCAAAAATGTATGCAAAATGTGCCTCCCTGGAGAGATTCCTAGGCCAGGGAGGACTGGGGGCCAAGGGACTTGCCGTCTGTTTAGCTGGGCACAGCTCAGGATTCCCCCTCCTTTCCTGGATCGCTTCTGTTCTTAGAAGGGATGGGCCTGCTGTTTAGAGACAGGCCAGGAGGGAGCCCCTGAGGACCTGGGAGGGAAGACTCTGGACAAGTGAAGACAGAAACTAAGGAAGCATCACCCTGCTTGTCTGTGACAGCTGGAGGGGGAGAGCTGTGGCACTGAGGGGAGTGGGGAGAGAGGGCTGGAACTGCTGAACCCGCTTGACTGTGGATGAGAGGACAGGAGTGGAGGGGTCAAGGTGGGCAGCCCCGGCAGCCTCCTGAACGTGTCCGTCTATTCTGATGGAGTAGAACGATAGAGCGGGCACCCAAGGAGACAGGTGCCAGACACGGAGAGAGAATGTCTGTGGCCGGATGGCAGGACCAGGCTGGTGTCCTCCTTGAGGGTGTGTCCCAAGTGTCTGGCTGGGGCTGACCAGCCTTTCCTCTCATCTCATCCATCCAACACTTCAGCCAAAACAAACTTTACAGGCATCAAATGTCCTGCCCTGGGAGCCACGGCAGAGGTCGCAATGCCAAGGAAATGCGTCTTTGAGTTAGCAAGATCATTAAAAAAGAATGAAATGGGATTGTCTACTATTAAAATATTTAACACACCAAGGTCAGGGGTTTGGATCCCTGTATTGACCAGCTGCCAAAAAAAAAAACACCACACACACACACACACACACATATATATATATATATATAAATAAAAGAAATATATAAATATGTAAATGTAAACATATATAAATAAAACAAATTTTATTTATACATAAGTAAAACATTTATAGATATAAATTTTATATATATATATATAACAAAATCTTGTATATATAAACTTTGGAGATGAAAAAAGTAAAAGATCTCAAAATACCACAAATAACCAGTTTCTGGGCAGTGGCTCATATGTCCAATCACCTTAGGAGGACCAAGTGCCTCTGCTGCTCCTTTTCTTTTTTTTTTTTTTTTCCTGGCAGCTGGCTGGCACAGGGATTGAACCCTGGACCTTGGTGTTATCAGCACCACACACTAACCAACTGAGCTAACTGACCAGCCCTCCTGCTCCCTCTCTTATGTGGCCTACCCTGGCTGGGGATCAAGCCAGCATTGGGGGGCACCAACATGGCCTCCTTTTGGGGGCTCTTGTAGGCCTCCTCATATTTCACCCCTGCTCCTGGAAGCTGAGGCAGGAGATACAAACACAACCAGGCAAGGAACAGGTGTATGTAAGGGGCCTGACAGGAGAGAGACACCAGTGTCCCCACACCCTATCCTGACACTCATACATTCATCTTTGGTACAACCTTTTCTGTTGCAAAGCTTCTCACAACAGACCAGAGCCAGGAAAAGCAAAGGGCCCTTCAGTGCCCCCAGTGGACTATGGGGAGTCTTAGTACCCCTTCTAGAACAGACAGCATTGGGAAGCTGTGAAGGAGGGTGGGCCCCTGTCTTCCCGGATGCCTGACAAAGACTCCTCCACAACAAGAAAGAAGGTCAAGCAGAGGCAAAAAGAGATGAGGGACAGAGGAAAGAGAGGGAGGCGTCTGGCAGCATTAAGTTCTACTTCCATCCCTGAGGTCCTGCATACTGTGTGTTCTTCCTAGCTAGTGAGCTCCCCTGTACTTTCCCAGGGGCTGTATCAAAAGCCCCCCTTCTCTTTCAGCTAGTTTGAACTGCTGCATTTGTTTTCAGAGCTCATGCTGGTAACCACTAGACAACACTGCAACATGGCCAGTGTGAGAGCCTTTGGGGCCCCAAACCATAATCCAGAAATCTCACTTTTAGGCATCTACATTAAGGAAGTAAAGAGTCAGGCAAAGATTTTATCACAATAGTAGGGATAATAATCTTTTTTTTTTTTTTTTTTTTTTTAAAGATGACCAGTAAGGGGATCTTAACCCTTGACTTGGTGTTGTCAGCACCACGCTCTCCCAAGTGAGCCAACAAGCCATCCCTTTATAGGGATCCGAACCCGTGGCCTTGGTGTTACCAGAACCACACTCTCCCAAGTGAGCCAAGGGCTGGCCCGGGATAATAATCTTTTAAATTGATGTAAGTTTCAGGAGGACAGGGACTTTAAGTCTGTTTTGTTCATGGCTGTATCCCCAGAATCTGGCTCAATAAGTATCTATTGAATGAATTAATAAACCTGATGTTGATCTTTGGGAGAATGGTTAAAATAGTATGGTACCTCCATATAATGCAATGCTAAGTAGTCATTAAAATCTTGTTTTAAATAGCCTTTCAGTGACATTGGAAAATGCTTATGATACATCTGGTATATAAATTTCAAAACTACATGTATTTCATTTATTTCCAATGACAGGAAAAGTATATATGCATAGAAAATAATAATGTAAGGAAATATACCAAAAATGTTTGCAAGAAACTATCTTTAGGAAATATGATTGCAGATGATTTTGGCTTCCTTATTTTCACTTTGTATTTCCCAACTTTTCCCCTATATGCATGTCTTATTTTTCTGATCAGAAATAGTTATAGAGGGCCGGCCCGTGGCTCACTTGGGAGAGTGCGGTGCTGATAACACCAAGGCCCCGGGTTCGGATCCCATATAGGGATGGCCAGTTCGCTCGCTGGCTGAGCATGGTGCTGACAACACCAAGTCAAGGGTTAAGATCCCCTTACCGGTCATCTTTAAAAAAAAAAAAAAAAAAGAAATAGTTATAGAATATTTTGCTTAATGGTAAATTCTGGGTCCTCATTTTTAAGGGTGTGGAAACAGGCCATTTTGCTCAGGAATGTGATTCTTAGCATCAACTAAACTCGCAGAAGGTGGTCCCCTGCTTGGGGGTGGGGATGTACACTGGATGGAAATGACTGTAGAAAAGATGGTAGAAGAGACCTGGGGAAATAAAGGTCCCAGGCCCTTCTGAATCCTCTGGGGACGTGTAGAGGTAGGGCTCGGGCTCACAGATCCCTCAAGCCCGTTCTCCAGATTGGGTCACAAATCCTTCAAGTCTATGAGCCAGGTAATAGGAAAAGGTCCTGGGAGCCGTGGGTGAAGAAATAATAGGCTTTATTCCGAGCAATGAGCACTGGGCCTAATATGAACTACTGGAGCATGCCCTAGGTGCTTCCCGCACCTGCGCAGTTAGTCCTTTATACTCAAGACCATACCTCCAAAAAAAAAAAACCCGGATGCACATGCGCAATAACAAGAAACACCCGTGCGCACGCGCACACCCACCCCAGCCGCTCGGCAAGACCCCGGACACTAGAGGGGCCCTGGCCATTTTCCTTATATTTTCCCAGCAGAACGCCACCTCCTTCCTCTGTACCTTTCTCCGTCACCTGTTCCCCGCGGCCCCTTACTTATTACTACTGATGAAAAAGGAAACATCACGTGTGGGGGGCGTTTCCAAACAAGTGGCGGCAGGGGCCGGGGGGCCGGGCTTGTGGAAGAGCAGTCGGGTCTGAGGGAGCCGATGATGTCCTTAGGGGGCCGAGGAGCCGGTCCTACCTGCAGGCTAAGACACGTCCGCGGGGACCATGCAAGTTCAGGGGGATCAGCCGCGGCTGTCCCCGCCGCCTCCCCGCGGCTCCGACCCCGCTAATCCCGGGGCGCACGTGTCTGCGCGACCCCTTCTCATCTCCCGCCAGGGGGGTCCCATTCACCCCCTCCAGTCGGCAACCCGGGTGACCAGCGCCAGGAAGACAAGCCAGGCCTCGGCCGGACCCCAACCCTGAACTCTAGGCGGGGTCCGGACGACGACCTCGGCTCTCGGGTGGGGGACGGGGGTCCTGCGGGGACGAGGGCCGGACTTCCGCGGTCTGCGCCCGACGTCCCGCCTGTCAGTCGCGAGCGGGGAAGGCGGGCGCACGGCCCCGGCCCGGCCGCAATTGGCCAGCCCCGAGTTCCGGGCCGCGGATTGGTTGCCCTGACGGGGCGGGGACACGTGGCCTGCGCCCCGGCCACGATTGGTCCGCTCCGAGCTCCCGGCCGCGGATTGGTCGGCCCGACTGCCTGCGCAAGGCCCTGTGGGCTAGAGGGGCCGCGCGAGCCCTCCAGGTGAGCCCCGCCCAGCCGCGGTCCGGAAGCTGCTGCGGACTCGCCCAATCCGCTTACTCGGTGCGTCGCACGCGGGCTGCGCAGGCGCCGCCTTCCCCTAGCGGCGCCTCGGGGTGACGTCGAGGGGGTTCGTGCGGCAGCCGGGGGTCGGGATCCGGGGACCATGAGTGTCGGCTTCATCGGCGCCGGCCAGCTGGCCTGTGCACTTGCGCGGGGCTTCACGGCCGCAGGTGAGCGCGTGGAGGCGCGGGGTGGGGGTTCGTGAATGGGCCCCAGGCCTGGTGTGTGAACAGCCCTCCACCCCACCAGCGTGCATGCATGCACTCATGGATGGATGAATGAATGAATGCATGTATGGATGAATGAATGAGTGCATGAGTGGATGAATGAATGCATGCGTGGATGAATGAATGCATGCATGGATGAATGAATGAGTGCATGCGTGGATGAATGAATGCATGCGTGGATGAATGAATGCATGCATGGATGAATGAATGAGTGCATGCGTGGATGAATGAATGCGTGCATGGATGGATGAATGAATGCATGCGTGGATGAATGAATGCGTGCATGGATGGATGAATGAGTGCATGCGTGGATGAATGAATGCATGCATGGATGAATGAATGAGTGCATGCGTGGATGAATGAATGCATGCATGGATGAATGAATGAGTGCATGCGTGGATGAATGAATGCATGCATGGATGAATGAATGAGTGCATGCGTGGATGAATGAATGCATGCATGGATGAATGAATGAGTGCATGCGTGGATGAATGAATGCATGCATGGATGAATGAATGAGTGCATGCGTGGATGAATGAATGCATGCATGGATGAATGAATGAGTGCATGCGTGGATGAATGAATGCATGCATGGATGAATGAATGAGTGCATGCGTGGATGAATGAATGCATGCATGGATGAATGAATGAGTGCATGCGTGGATGAATGAATGCATGCATGGATGAATGAATGAGTGCATGCGTGGATGAATGGATGGATGGATGGATGGATGGATGAATGCATGCATGGATGAATGAATGCATGCATGGATGATTGAATACGTGCATGCATGAGTGAAGGATTTGCGTTTGGTGGGTACCTGAGACTTTTGCTAGGCAGCAGGTGTGTCTTGTGTCTGCGTAAGAGATGGAAGGGGTGAGGAAGACACCGGCAGTGTTAGAGCAGTCGAGGTTTTGATTCTGCTTTCCCGGGGAAAACGTGGGAACAGGGCGGGCTATGGTCCCCCATTGAAAAGCCCTGTCTGCTGCAGGTGTCCTGTCGGCTCACAAGATAATAGCCAGCTCCCCGGAAATGGACCTGCCCACAGTGTCCGCGCTCAGGGTATGTGGGGCAGAGGGGGTGTGGGAAAGAGGGTGGAGGCCCGGGAAAAGGATAACCGGAGTCTGGCTGTGCTGCCTGTGCTAGTCTTGGGCCGGCAGTGACCTCCCCACCAAGAACAGCACATCCTTCCGCCTTCTCTGGGGCACCCAGGTTGACAGACTGGGGGTCAAATCCAGGCACTGGGGTGATTAGAGGATTAACAGGTAATTACATATGGAAAGCACTTAACACTTAGTAGAAAACCAATAAACACTCATTTTTCTTCATCGACGAGTTGTATGACCTCAAAGTACTCAGTCACTCTGAGGCTCACTTTCCTTATTTATAACAGTAGCCACTTTGCTGTTATTCTGAGGCATGAATGAGTGTGTTGGTTAAGAATCCTCTCTCCGGGCCGAGCCCGTGGCGCACTCGGGAGAGTGCGGCGCTGGGAAGCGCAGCAGCGATCTCGCCACGGGTTCGGATCCTATATAGGGAGGACCGGTGCGCTCACAGCGCTCACTGGCTGAGCGCGGTGTGGCCGATCTCAAAAAAAAAAAAAAAAGAATCCTCTCTCCAGAAAGATAATATCCCATCTTCACTGAAAACCTGGGCAGTGTGGGAGAGGGTGGCCAATGAGGCAGGTGATAGGCAGTGTCTGCCTAGGATGGGCTGATGCTCCTGGTGCTGGAGGCCCTGCTTCTCAGTTTAGAGTCCCAGAGGGATGGGGAGACCGTTTGGTCTGATGAACAAGCGGCCAGGTTGGGATGGAGCCTGACCCAGCTCTGCCTCCCATCACTCGTCGCTAGCATTTCACCTTTCCCTTGGCCTGTGCTGCTTCCCACTGTTGAGACTTCTTACCTGGCAGAGGGGTGCCCTGGGTGCCAGAGGACTGGGAATCCTGAGAGTACAGAGCAAGGAATTGCAGGCTGCAGCTGGCAGAGTGGGCTTGGCAGGGGCTCAGCAGCTTCCTGGGATGCCTGGGCTTAGCCAGGGTGCCCCAGCACTGTGAGCTGGTCCCTTTCTCCTGCAGAAGATGGGTGTGAACCTGACCCGCAGCAACAAGGAGACAGTGAGGCACAGTGACGTCCTCTTCCTGGCCGTGAAGCCGCACATCATCCCCTTCATCCTGGATGAGATTGGGGCCGACGTGCAGGCCAGGCATATCGTGGTCTCCTGCGCAGCTGGGGTCACCATCAGCTCTGTGGAGAAGGTGCCCATCTCAGCACTGGTGCCCCTTGTGTGGGGGGGGCTCAGGGTGGCCTGGGAGTGGCAGCTGATGGGTGGGACTGCATCCTGGCCACTTACTCAGCCCTCTGCCTTGCCCCAGAAGCTGATGGCGTTCCAGCCGACCCCCAAAGTGATTCGCTGCATGACCAACACTCCTGTGGTGGTGCGGGAGGGTGCCACGGTGTACGCCACAGGCACCCACGCCCTGGTGGAGGACGGGCAGCTCCTGGAGCAGCTCATGAGCAGCGTGGGCTTCTGCACGGAGGTGGAGGAGGACCTGATCGATGCCGTCACGGGGCTCAGCGGCAGCGGGCCTGCCTACGTGAGACCCTCGTCTGCTCATGCAGCCTTCTGGGAACCCAGGCAGCTAGATGGGGTGGTGGGGAGGCTTGGGTTGGCAGGGAGGTGGAACCCACCTCTTGGGTGTGGCTGACTTGTGGAGGAGGCTGACCCTTGGAGCCAGTTCCAGGCCTCAGAAAAACCAGCCCCTGGGGAGGGCCCTTGAGTGTCTGCTGCCCAGGGCTCAGCGAATGTCTCCACAGGCGTTCATGGCCCTGGACGCACTGGCTGATGGTGGGGTGAAGATGGGCTTGCCGCGGCGCCTGGCAGTTCGGTTGGGGGCCCAGGCCTTGTTGGTCAGTGTCTTCCCCCTGTGTGTTTAGGACCAGGGTGTGGGATGGGAATTCTGGGTGGGGGGGGTCACTGAGCTGGGTGCAGGGGTTGGTTGGGAAGCTGGCGTAGGGATTGGGCAGGAGCAGCGGGCATGGGAAGCCTGCCCCATGGTGCACCAGCAGTTTTCTCCTCTAATGCTCCCTTCCTGCCCTAGGGAGCGGCCAAGATGCTGCTAGACTCGGAGCAGCATCCCGGCCAGCTCAAGGACAATGTCTGCTCCCCTGGGGGGGCCACCATCCATGCCCTGCACTTCCTAGAGAGTGGAGGCTTCCGCTCTCTGCTCATCAATGCAGTTGAGGCCTCCTGCATCCGAACACGGTAGGTCCATCTCTCTCCTCCTCTGCTCTGGGTCCTCTACTCCCAGCCAGGCCCTGGGCTGGGCTGGGCACCATCTTGCGGCATCTGCTGTCTTGGGTCCTGTTAGTAGTGCTGGAGTTTGTGCTCTGGTGATCAGCACGATTTTTAGACCGTGTTTAGCTAAGGGTTTGCAGGCCTTACTTCGCTGATTTTCACCACAGTTCTGAGAGCAGAGGTTAACTTTGGCAAGTAAGGGATAGGCTGGCTGGTTGGCTCAGTTGGTTAGAGCACCGCCTTGCAACACCATGGTCAAGGGTTTGGATCCCCATACTGGCCAGCTGCCAAAAACCAAAAAAAGAATATGATATAGACAGGGGATCTGAGCCTCAGAGACAATTTTCCCAAGGTCATACTGCTCATAAGTGATGGAGACAGGATTCCACTTCAAGTCTGTGACTCCAAACCCGGTGATTTTCCACATTCTGTCTCCCCACATGATCATGGATATTTCTTGGAGCTTTATGTCTGGCTGGGACCAAATGAGACAAATCAGATAAACCTGTACTTAGTTAACTAGTACTTCTTAGAAGCTTTTGGTTTAGGGTTTTAATTTTTGGTGGTGTCAGATCTATGAGGGTAGGGGTTGTGTTGGTGGAGAAGACTCGAAGCTCTGGCTCTCAGGTTTATTGCCTTCTTTCTGGGGCTTTGCAGAGAGCTGCAATCCATGGCTGACCAAGAAAAGATCTCCCCTGCTGCCCTTAAGAAGACCCTCCTGGATAGGGTGAAGCTGGAATCTCCCTCAGTGTCCACACTGGCCCCCTCCAGCCCAGGGAAGCTCCTCACAAGAAGCCCAGCTCCAGGAGGCAGGAAGGACTGAGGCAGCCTCTCCCCTGCTCTCTGTGGTTCAGGGGCCTCAGCTCAGCAGTGCAGGGAGAGGGAAGGCCCGGGTAGTTTTCAGGTCCATGTGATAAAACCTCCTTATGTCTGTTCAGAGCACGCAGCACCAATTTCCTCTCCTGTCCCATGTTGGAAGATGCTCTGAGGGGGTGGCCCGTGCTGGAGGCCAGACACCACCCTGCACACCTCCCACTGCTGGCGCGAGAGGGGCTGGGAGCCGCTCGGTTGGGAGGTCTGCAGAGGACCTTCAACTGGGGTCCTCCCACTGGGGCCAAGGCAAGGGGAAGAGAGGAGATATGATAATAGAAAAGAGGGGAGCAACTTAGAATTGTCACGATCAGAAGTGTACGGGGCTGGCCGGTTAGCTCACTTGGTTAGAGCACGGCCTTGTAACTCCAAGGTCACAGGTTTGGTTCCCAGTACCAGCCAGTGGCCAAAAAAAGTGTTTTTTCAAGAAGTAGTGGACAGAATTAGACTACATTTATATTTACTCTTGCTTCATAGGTGTGCCTTTAAAAAGTGTTATTCAGTGCTGTTTAGCTCCTTTCATAAAGTTTTTTTTAAAAAATTATCCTGCTTTTCTTGTGTTTCATCTTAAATTATTCTAGAAAACTCGAGGCCCCTACTTACCAGGTCCTGCCTGCACCTGCAGGGAGCACTGTCCAAGGGCAAGAAGTAAGAAAGAGGGGAAAGGAGGGGCCGGGCCCTGAGAACTGGAGTGACTCGCCTCCAGCCCTGCCCCCAAGGCCAGGGTCAAGGTCAAGAGGTTGTGTTCTAGGATGGGCCAAAGCTAATGGCAGAGACAAGCCAGGTGGCCCGGGTGGCATGCAGGGCAGCGGCTCAGATGCGAAGGAGAAAACCATCCACTCCATTGTGGGCCCCACAGCACGCCAAGCACTTTATCCTCAGCTGCCCTCTCTCGGAGGAACTGATCTTTACCTCACCTTATAGAAGAGGCTGAGGCCAGGGCCGGCCCATGGCTCACTCAGGGAAGTGCGATGCCGATAGCACCAAGGCCATGGGTTCGGATCTTATGTAGAGATGGGCCCAGTTTGCTCACTGGCTGAATGTGGTGCTGATAACACCAAGCCAAGGGTTAAGATCCCCTTACCAGTCATCTTTAAAAAAAAAAAAAAAAAAAAAAAGAGGCCGAGGCCTAGAGGCGATAAGCAGCTTTGCCCCAGCCGGGCTGCTGGCCAGGGGCTGGGGCTGTCTGTGTTCTTAGCCACCAACTCTCCAGCCTCCTGGAAGCCAGGGCCGGGTGTGCACAACCAGACTGAGCCTGCGGTTTCCCCATGTAGGCTGGTGTGTGCCTGGCACGTCCCCTGGAGCTCGATGCCTGTGCCAGGCAGCAGGGCTGTTTTTGTAAAGGCGTGGGCATGGGCCTTGGCATCAGCTCTGAGTTCAAAACTTAGATCCCACCACCTTCCATTACGCAGCCTTGCAGAAGTTACTGGATATCTCTGACCCCAAGGTGTCATCCCCTGTGAATATGGAGGTCACGCTTCATCAGAAGGTTCTGGTGGGTTTTGAATGAGAATATGCAGAATTGCTCAGCAGAACATCTGGAACACGGCGAACCCCTTTGCACAATTGTTGCTCCTTAATCTCCTACCAAGGAGGGCAGAGAGCCTTGTTCTGTTCCACCGAGTTGGGACGGCCTTGGCTCCAGCTCCAAATCTGAGAGCCCACAAGGAAGGTTCATTCCTACTGGCCAACACAAGTGCAATACTGAAAACGCGTTTCTAAGCCCCCGGTATGTGGCAGGCCCCTGGTAAACACTTTGCAGACAATCTCATCATGGCCTTAGGAGCTGGGTATAATTATTTTCTCCCCCAGAAGAATAAAGGGAGGCTCAAAAAGACTGGTTTACCCAAAAAAGATTTGAATAGACATTTCACCAAACAAGATATGCAAATGGCAAAGAAGCACATGAAAAGATGCTCAATATCATTAGTTATTAGCGAAATTCAAGTCAAAACCCAACAACACCAAGGTCCAAGGTTCAATCCCTGTACCAGCCAGCTGCCCAAAAGAAAAGGAAAACAATGAGATACCACTTCACACCCACTAGTATGACTATTCTTTGTTTAAAAAGGAAGAAAGAAATAAACAGATGTTGGCTAGAAATTAAAGCCCTCATGTATCACTGGAGGGGGTATAAAATGGTACAGCTATTATGGAAAAGTCTGGAAGTTCCTCAGGAAATTAAACAGCTACCATATGACCCAGCAATTCCACTCCAAGGTACTGACCCAAGAGAAATAAAAACATGTCCACTGGGGCCGGCCCGGTGGCACACTGGAGAGTGCACCGCTTGGGGGCGCGGCAGCGCTCCCACCGAGGGTTCAGATCCCATGTGGAGACCGGTTCCCGCTCACTGGCTGAGCGCGGTGCGGACGCAACACCGAGGGTTGTGATCCCGTTGCCGGTCCCCGCTAAGGGCGCGACACCGAGGGTTGCAATCCCCGTTACCAGTCAGTAAAAAAAGACAAAAAAAAAGGAAACAAACAAAAAAACATGTCCACTGAAAACCTTGTATGTGAATGTTCATGGCAGTGTTATTAACAGTCACCAAAAGGTGGAACCAGATGCCCGTCAGCTGGCGAGTGGATAAACAGATGTGTTATGTTAGCAATGAAAAGTCATGTTTTCATGATGGGCCTGAGAAACATGCCGAGTGAAAGAAGCCAGCCTCAAAAGGCCACATGTATGATTCCATTTAGATGAAATGTCAAATACAAATCTAAGAGACAGAAACTGCTTGGTGGGGGCTGTGGTGGGAATGGGAGATGCACGGGCTTCTGTTTGGACCGACAGGAGGGATTGAAAGTAGGATTACAGTGATAGTCGCACAACTCTGTACATTTATAGTCATTGAGTTGTATGCTTTAAGTGGGTGCATTTTATGGTATGTAAATTATACTCAAAAAAGCCTTAGGGGGCAGGCCCGGTGGCGCACTGCTACAGTGTGCCGCTTGGGAGCGCGGCGGCGCTCCCGCCA